ATAGATCCCGTTATTTTGGATATGCAGGCATTGTCATCTCGGTAACGGAGGCGCATTCAAGAGCCTATATATTATGCGATCCCTTTCAGAGCTGCAGCTTCATCTTAAAATACTCACAGGTTGTAGGGCTCCCCGGGGAAAGTATTGCACACGTCTGTGGCTTCCTAGCCACATGCGCACGCAGAGATAAGACACCGCTCCATGAGATAACTGCATATTTCGAGCCAAGTTGGCCTTATTGAGACCGTTGTTCTCCGGCTATCTCAGGCTTCCCACGTCGGACGATATCCCACCTTTGGGTCCTAGAAGGAGGTCAAAACCTCATATATCTACACTCTTAAAATGGCGTGGCTTTTACTAGAACCCCCTATGACCATTGTTAAACTCTGTGTTTTTCTTGTCGTTTCCATTCTAACGCTTAGTCTCCCTTTACGGGCGGCTTCACTTCCGCAGGCGAAGCCACCTGCATTCCCCGACTTGTACGAGGCCACTATCGCTGAATTACAGTCTGGCCTGAATGCAGGCCATTTTTCGAGCGTTGACCTGGTCAAAGTATGTCCCATCAAATTGTTACCAGACACCCCGACCTTACAAAAACCTAAAAGGCCTACTTCGCTCGCATTGAAGAAGTTAACCTCAAAGGACCAGCCCTGCATGCTGTGATTGAGACGAATCCTTCTGCAATCGCAATCGCGCTGGCACTGGATAACGAAAGGAAAAATAAAGGTCCACGGAGCGCATTACACGGCATTCCGATTCTACTCAAGGTAAGCTTGTCGTTTTGTTCATTGTCCGTGTATTCAAGTGACCTCAGGATAATATTGCTACCGTTGCATCTGAGGGTAGCATTATTTGTGCTTGATCCTGAGGAACCCACGTCATCTAAAATTGTGATTCAGGAATGAATACCACAGCGGGGTCGTTCAGTCTACTGGGATCCGTTGTTCCTGATGACGCTGGTGTCGTCAAGCGCCTTCGAAAAGCGGGTGCTATCATCCTCGGTACAATGCGCCATGCTCCTTAATTTCTCAAACTCGACTAATGGTAATGCAGGCAAAGCAAATCTTTCGGAGTTCGCTGAATTTCGGGGAAATCTGGCTTCAGGTTGGTCGGGTCGAGGCGGTCAAACGACAAATGCCTATTTCCCAAACGCCGATCCCTGTGGTTCTTCCTCTGGCTCAGGTGTCGCGGCTTCCATCGGTCTCTCCGCTGTAACGCTTGGTACCGAAACGGACGGCAGCATTACCTGTCCTTCCAGCAACAATAACCTCGCTGGTATCAAACCCACTGTCGGCCTTACTTCACGCGCTGGCGGTAGGTCAATGCGCTTTCTCTTCGACTCCAAAGTTGCTGAAGTCTTTTTAGTCATACCAATTTCTGAACATCAAGATACTGTCGGACCCATGACGCGCTCCATAACAGATGCCGCGATTGTACTTTCGATCATCGCTGGTCCAGATCCAAATGATAACTTCACATTTGCCCAGCCCCGAGCTGTCCCCGACTTCACCAAGGCTCTAAAGAAGGGCGCTCTCAGAGGGAAACGAATCGGGGTGCCCCGTCATGTCTTCCTAAATGCGACAATCGATGGCCGATCCCCTGATGTTACATCGGCTTTTGAACAGGCCCTCGTTGTGCTGCGCGGGCTGGGCGCGACAATTATTGATCCCGCTGACTTGCCCTCTGCCGATGACATCCTGGCCTCTAATGACGAGAACGTCGTCCTTGACGTCGATTTCAAGGTACGTCTAGAGTTCGTAGTCTCTCAGTCGCTCGACTAACCTTCGAATAGGTACAACTGAACAAATACTATGCGAGTCTTATATCGAACCCATCTGGAGTACGGAGCCTTGCGGACCTCATTGCTTTTAACATGAACAACTCGGCGCTTGAAAGACCTCAGGGATTTACTGACCAATCTACGTACGTGGTACAAGATTTGCCTGAGCGTCACTGATACGAACCCTCGACCAGCTTGATCGAATCAGAAGCTACCAATGGCTTTGACCCTGCTTACTTTACCTCACTTGCCACTGACCGTGAGCTAGGTGGCTCTCGGGGAATTGACGCCGCTCTACAAGCACATAAGCTCGATGCCCTGGTTCTCCCCGCCGACGGATTTACTACAAGACCCGCAGGTTTGTGTCCTCGTGTTTTATTGGTTTCCTGTTTATGATGCCTGGTTCTCAACTTTTTCTCCGTAGCCATCGTAGGTTACCCCATCGTTACGGGTGAGCGAGTTACACTTTGATTTCCCCCTGGTCATGTCATCAGCTACATATTCATTTTAGTGCCACTCGGATTCTTCAGTGACAATGTCACCACAATGCGTGCAGGGCCACAGACATTATACCCCGCCCCAGGGGTTCCTTTTGGATTGTCCTTCCTTGGGACGGCATTCTCAGAGTTCAATCTCGTTGGATTTGCGTATGCTTATGAGCAGCAAACACAAACTCGGTTGGCTAGGAGGGCATTTGCAGCAGCCATACCGAAGACCCAACTTAGTGACATTATCCCTGACATATAATTAAGGTATTTACGATAAAGAACATGTCTCGATAGCTCAGTGGTAGAGCATGCGATTGCAGTAATAAGATATCGCAGGGTCAGGTGTTCGAACCACCTTCGGGACTCTTTTGTCTTTCATTATAGACTTTTTTTTAACTTTGATCAGATCGAAGTCTATATTTATCGTTTCAAACTTTCAAACTTTTTCCTCTTCCTTCAAACTGAAGTCCTCCGTCCTTCGCACTGTAATCTCCCTTCCTAACGACTTCCTTTCTACCACTAAAAGTTCATAGATCAGTACACGGATGGCCCGCCCTGGCCTGCGGTTTTCCCTTGATGAACCATACACAACATCTTTTGGCCCACGGCGAGGCACTGTCGTCCTCGAGCGCCCTAATGGTCATACCATAACACTCCAGACGCCTGTATTGCTAACAGGAACCTCACGCGGCGTTGTACCGCATCTATCACGCGACCACACTCGTGCCAGCGCAGCCATCGGTCTGCTCCACATTCCATTCGAAACGTTGTAAGTGAGTTTTGTAGCCATCAGCGCTGAAATTTATTCAAATGTTTCCAGCCTTGAACATAGCCCACCTGTTCCTACTCTGCAACCTGGCCCGAATGCGTTACACCGTTTCCTAGGGCTCGATCCCGACCAACACATTCTTTCCCTCAGTTTACGCGATCCGGACGATCTACGCGAGATGCCTGCGAATGGTAATCAACATGTAGCTGCTTACAGCCTACGGGGTGTGCGCAGGGTGTGTTATTTGTAGATCTGCCTTATTTCCTCAACTCACCACCTGACTTTTCTAGATTGCACCTGCGGACTGGACACAATATGCCAAGGGGTGTACACCGGACATCGTCGTCGCCCTCTCTGATACGCCACACACCTCACCCCCGTTCTCTCAGAAGAGACTCACCAAGAGTATAGAGCGATCCGCGGCGTGGCTCACAGCGCTACTTACTCCCAACACGAGCACACCACCAACGCCTGATCCAGCAGTTCTTGTCCACCTAGTAGGTTCAGCATCGCACTCCGCACGTGCTGCATTTGCTGCATCACTCACCGAACCCCTTTCGCCGTCGGAGAAGACAGCTGTCGGTGGCCTACCCAATCTCGATGCAGGCATCTCGGGGTACACCATTGACCTCAAACCTCTACGCATGGCTGCCGCGGCCTCCCCCTCTCCGCAGCAACCGACCATCGACAACGAATTAACCTCTCTCATACATACATCTCTACAAGTCCTGCCTCATACCAAGCCCCGCCTCGTTCACGGGACAACAGGTCCGCATGACGTCCTTCGTCTCGTCCGGGACGTGGGAATCGATGTCGTCGAGGCAAGATGGGCTATCGAAGCAGCTTCATGCGGTGTGGCCCTCGACTTTGTGTTCCCAGTCCGTCCAGACATAACCGAAGCGCCGGAAAGGAAAGATATCGGCCACAACCTGTACAACGTGAAATACCGACTCGATTTTGTCCGGCTGGCGGAGACCTATCGCGCAGCATCCGAGCCAGAAGATGGGGAGGCTAGGGTCTGCCCATGCATCGCCTGTTCCCCTATCCAGCCTTCACGACGCATCGTACATGGCTCTGATCCGAGCGAGGCTGCAGATGCATACAGCCAAAATGGTGGACAAGAGAAGGAGTACAATCCACCTTTGACTCGAGCCTACTTGCACCACCTACTCCACACACATGAGATGTCCGCGCATGCTTTGCTTGTGGCGCACAACCTCGCGGTTGTGGATGCGTTTCTGGCTGGTGTACGAAACGTACTAGACGCCGCGGGTCGAGACGGTTTTGCGGCGGAGACGAAACGTTTTGAGGCTGCCTACAGTGAGGATGGTGCCGTTGAGGAGGAGGCGAGGGTTATGTGGGCGGATGTCGAACGTGCAAGGGGTAAGGGCAGGTTGGCGAGGGAAAAAGAGAAGTCGGATGACCAGGATACCGCGGTGGGAGCTTCCGAGGCGTAGATGAGTCGTTCATTTCTGGACATTGGAATTCAAAAAACAATTCTAGATCTTCTGCTGTCTCGCTTGCAGGCAGTAACATTCTGACACTCGCCCAATCCCACGGTCTCGATAGCTAAGTGGTATAGCATGCGATTGCAGATCGCAGGGTCCGGTGTTCGAACCACCGTCGGGACTAACCTTCAGGCCTTAGGACCTGAAGCTGCATCTTTTGCTCCTCAGCCGACTGATTATCCATCCGTCTTCGCGATGATACTCCGATGTAACGGTCTGTATTCATGTCTCGATAGCTCAGTGGTAGAGCATGCGATTGCAGATCGCAGGGTCCGGTGTTCAAACCACCGTCGGGACTTAGGTACTTTTTTTCTGAAACGTCCGGTCTCGTTTTGCCGTTATTTATTTCTGAAAGCTCGTTCATCCATCCAAAATCACCTGCCAAGAACATTGATCAGCGTTGTGTTTTCGAATCACAGCTCTAAAACGGAGTAACCAGGTACATGCCTCGAGCAGCGTGAAGCTTAAGCGTTTGAGCAAGCTTCGCTGAAGACCAAGTGCTCTCGGATTTTGTCCACACCGGCGTTGAAATTAAATCAACTTGTTATACGGCTTCAGAATCGTACGTAATATTTCTATTCCCTTCGGGAGTATCTCGAACTACCCCCCTTATATGAGTGGTCCTGTGGGGCAGGTGTTTACCGCACACTTAGCAAACATTTATTTCCTTGGTTTGCTTTGTCTACTTTGTTTATTTAACCAAATGTATCATCTACAAATACTTATCGGTATTCTACCGTTCGCTCTTTGCTGCTCAACACACATATATAGCTTTCCAATATTCTCATGGTTAGTATATCGAGATTGAAGCTTCAACGTTGAACAAACGAAGTTTGAAACCACTGCCTCTGATGAAATTCGAGGTAGAATCAAACTTTTACAACTGGGAACAACCTAGGAAGTCCATTGTTGTGTTGAACAACAAACGTAGCTACGGGACATGTTACAAGTACACAAGACGGAGGAGAGTATAGATTGTGGCGATGATGACCTTCAGCGCACAATGCAGAGAAGTCTTAGCTTTCAAGAAAGCTTCTTCCAATTGCCTTCGTTATTCAAGAACCATCTCTGATGTCTCTCGTCGGTAAAATCGAGGTCAAGCGGGTTGGTCACACTGGACGTCGTCATCGTGCCAGTCACAATCTTCTGTTCAAAAAAGACTTTCACTTTTTTGATGGGAATAAGAGCAGTTGTCGATCCATTCACGTAAGCCATGGGACTGATGAAGACTGTAGCGAACGGAATTGGAGCAGAAGCTTAGTAGCTGCAACATGAAATGAAGGACATCCGACGACCCACCCGGAACAATATCACTGCCTGCAACCTTGGTCATGTAGATAATGGCCGATGCGTTTGTACCCCTTTGATCAATCATGAAACGGAAGCCATTGGTGGGGCCGTCTGGGTCACGGCCGATGCTAAAATCGTTGAACGTCGCTCCAAGGGAAGCGGCCTCCTGAAATGCAATCGGATAGACGTCGGTGCCAGATTGGCTGACGACTGTTAACATGATTAGTATATATATATTGTGGTGGCCCTACAGAGATAACTGACCATCTCCTTGTCTGAACTGTTCGGTCGTAGCACCAATCTGATAACTTTCATCCCACCCGAAGCTGTTCGTCGCACCCATCACTGGGACCAGTCAGCTACCACGCAATGATAGTACCCAATAATGTTCGTACAGTTCCAGGGTTTCACGGCAAAGGCAACATTCTCCACGGTACTGGAACC